AAAATGCAGCACTGCAGGCTACTGCTAGATCAGCAGTTCGGCTGTTCAAATCCCACCAGGCTCAAGGTTAACTCAACCTTCCATCCTTCCGAGGTGGGTAAAATGAGGACCCAGATTGTTGTTGGGGGCAATATGCTGACTCTGTAAACCGCTTAGAGAGGGCTGAAAGCCCCATGAAGCGGTATATAAGTCAAACTGCTACTGCTATTGCTATAATGTTATTCATTTATGAATCCCATCAGCCTCTTCCTTTCTTGTAGCAGGAGTGTCCGAAGAGAAGCCTCCACTTCAGGGGTTGCTGAAGTGCTTGAAGGATCTGGTTACCTTGCAGTCCAGCCGTGGCCCCCAAACTCCCCTCAAAGCTTCCATAGGGAGCCAGCCACTGCCCCCCAGATTTGGGCGGTGGGGAAGCAGGAGTGACTCATTGCCCATCCAAGGTAAATCTTGATTTTCACGGACAATTTACCCGGATTTTTGATTCTCCTCAAACACCTCAAACCTTCTCTTCTGGGACTAAGCACAGCCTCCGCCCCAAAATGAATATAGGTGATCCTTGACTTATGACTCCAACTGAGCCCGAAATGTCCATTTTACGACCTTTCTCGCCACAGTGGTTAAGTGTATTGTATTGTATTGTATTTATTTGTCTTGTATGCCGCCCACTCCCGAAGGACTCTGGGCGGCTCACAATAGACAAGGGAAAGGGGATAAATAGACAAAGAGAAAGACAACACTTTAAAAAGACAACATTCACAATTTCCATGGGGCTGGATGTTTCACAAGCTCCCCGGCCTACTGGAGCAGCCAGGACTTGGTGGCTTTGCGGAAGGCCGGGAGGGTAGTAAGGGGCCGGATCTCCACGGGGAGGTCATTCCAGAGGGCTGGAGTGAATTCCCTGCAGGGGTGATGTCGGTAACCTGGTTGTTAAGTGAATCCAGTTTCCCCCTTGACTTTACTTGGGGATCAGCGTGACCGTTGTAAATATGAGTCATTTGCCAAGCATCTGAATTTGGATCGCGTGGCCACTCGGAACGCTGCAACGGTGGTTAAGTGTGAAAGAGGGTCGTCGGTGTCTTTTTTTCAGTGCTGCTGTAACTTTGAACCGTCACTAAATGAACCGTTGTAAGTCAGGGAGTACCTGTAATTTAGACTCACTGCTCTGATTTTTATTTCCGGTCTGCATTGCAGGAATTTTGCTCCAGAAAATAGTAACGCGGACTCCTACAAACAAAAGGATGTACTCGTATTTATAAATTTCAGGAGGGAAAATGATGCCGTCATGCACAGAATAACAGAATAACTGAATAGCTGAATAGCCAAATAACAGAAGAGTGACAAAATATTCTTGTAAGAGAATTACAGAATAATAATAATCGAATGACAGAATAACAGAGTAGTGGAGTTGGAAGGGACCTTGGAGGTCTTCTAGTCCAACCTTCTGCTCAAGCAGGCGACCCTTCTCTCCTCCTCCCTCCCCCTCCTCAGAATAACAGAATTTTTCACACTTATGACCGTTGCAGTATTACCCATAACCTCGTGATCAAAATTCATATCTTTGGCAATTGATTCATCCTTATGACGGTTGCAGTGTCCCAGGGTCACGTGGTTCCCATTTGCGACCTTCCGACAAGCAAAATCAGTGGGGAAACGAGATTCCCTTAAACAACCAGTTTCCTAACTAAATCCACTGATGTAATTCACTTAATCAACCCTGGCAAGAAAGTTTTTCAACTGGGGCAACGTTCTCTCAAAACATGTTTCACTTCAGTGACAGAAATGTTGGGCTCAATTGTGGTCGTATGTCGAGTGCTGCCTGCATTTTTGAACTTTTTGCCAAGGTGTAGGCTGTCTTAGAATTGTTGGGGCACCAGCCCGTTTTACAAATGTGTGTGAATATGTTGTTGTTAAGCAATTATAAAATGATAAGTGGCCTAGAGGTGGCGCTCTCACCTCACAATCAGGAAGCTGTGAGCTCGATCCCATGTAGAGGCAGATATTTCTCTCTCTGGGCACAATGAGAATGTATCTGCTGAACAAAACTCCGCATTGGCGACAGGGAAGGGCATCCGGCCATTAAATATTCCACTAGCTCCATTCAGTTGCCCAGACTCCACCCTACAAGGGATTATGGGGTCATTAAAAGATGATGATGATGATGATGATGATGATGATGATGATGATGATGATGATGATCCAATTGTAAAATGATCTCATGCCCACCAAAACTCTTTTCAACTTTCCCACATGTGGGAAGGGTTCCAAATAGCGTCCAAAAGTAAATCAGAGTCCGAAGCAAAGTATTGCTCAAAGTCCCAATTTAATTAAGAGAGCCGTGTTGGCACATCTGGGGAAACCCGAATCTGTGAAAGCTTCCCGGTTTTTCCCCACCCAGTTGAGAGTTCAAGATCCTGCCCCCCACACCCACAAGTCCATCCCATGGTCCAATCTCCCACTGCCACACCCTGGCAGCTTCCACCCATCCAGTTCCGGCCAGGTGCAGAGGCGCAAAGACAAAGGATGACCTTGGCTCTCTAGAAAGAACGTTGTTATGGCTGCACATCACCCAACCCCGTACAATCCCTCCCTCTCCATTTTCCCACAGTAGAAAATGAATGGTGGAAAGTGTGACAGGCCTGAAGTCGAAAAGAAAAGATGGATGGCAGGCCTGACACACTGTTAGAATTAAGGCATCGGGTTTCTCAGCTGGGGTTTTTATCCCCGTGTATCTAAATTTTAATTCCTACCTATCAATCCTGCTTGCAGTTAAGGTGGAAGCTTCCGGAGAGGAGCTGGGGGCCTGCAACCCCAGAGAAGTATCTGGGTCTTCTGTGGCAACCAGGGGGGACCCCTTCATCCCTCAGGCCAAAGGGAGCCAGACAGGTGGAAAAGAGAAAGACAACTTTCTGGCAGGTATGTGACTTGCCAGTGGCTGTTGACCACTGGGTGCAGTTTCCTGGCTGCCAAGGGGAGGGGGCTTTGGTGGGGAAGGGGTTTTTCTTTCTGTCCCTGTCTCTGGCAAAGCCGGGATTAAGGGCAGCGTTTGTGGGTCTCTGCAGTCAAAACGGAGCAGGAGACCAGCAGCTGCCCACACCAGGACCTGCCAGGAGGCCTCTCCTTGGTGATTGTCCCTGAAAGTCCGAAGAAAACCCAAGGACCATCCGACATCTCGGCTGTTTGTGGTAAACTTCCAGGTCTGGTTTTGGGGTTGAATTTCATGGGTGGCCTGAAACATTGGGAGAAGGGGAGATGGGTGGAAAGGAAGCGGGGGGCAGAGAGAAAGAAGGAAAGAAAGAAGGGTAGGAAAAGGGGGAGAGAGAAAGAAAAGAAAGAAGGAGAAAGGAAAGAAAAAGGAAAGGGACAAATAGTGGGAAGGCAGGGGAGAGAAAATGAAGGAGAGGAAAAAAGTAAGAAGAGGAAAGAGAAAGGAAAGAAAGACATAAAGGAAATAAAAGGGAGAGGGGGAAAGGAAGGAAGGAAAGAAAAGGGAGAAAGAAGGAAAGAAAAAAGTATGAAAAGGGGGGGAGAGAAGAAATAAATAAAGGAGAGATAAAAAAGGAAAAGAAAAGGGGGAGGGGGAAAGGAAGGAAAGGGAGAAAGAAGGAAATAAAAAATAAGAAAGGGGAGAGAGAGAAAGGAAAGAAAGAAGGAAAAATAGATAAAGAAGGAAAAAAGGTAGAGAGGGAGAAGGAAGAAGAGAAGGAAGGAAGGAAGCAGAGATAGCAGAAGGATGAAAGGAGGAAGGAAACGGGAGAGAAAGGATTAAGGGAATGGCAAGAAGGATAGTAGAAAAGGAAAGGAAGAAGGAAGGAAGGATCGATGGAAGGACAGAAAAGGGAAGGGGAAAGGAAGGAAGAAAGAAGAAAGAAAGGAGAGATGGGGAAGAAGGAAGGAGAAAGAAAAAGAAGAGATAGAAGAAGGTAGGAAAGAAAGAAGGGAAGACAAGGGGGAAGAGCGCTGTAAGAAGGAAAGAAAAGAGAAGAAAGGATGAGAAGGGAAGGGAAGAGAGCTACTCGCAGGCAAATGCCAGATTGTTTCAGGCAGGACTGGAAATGTTCTGGTCCCATCTTGACAGCAGTCAATATCAACCTTCCTTCACTCAGCATCCTTTCAATATCTTGGAATACAAAGCCTATCTTTCCCAGCCAGTTGGCTCAAAGCCCATTTTGTTTTGAAATGTGGTCATCATACAGTCTGTTTCTCGGTCCCCCTTCTCCTGGCGTCACTCCCTGCCCACCTGTGGATGGACGTCAAGGGCCTTGGGGAGAGGGTTTTTTTTTGGAGGGGGGGGGAAACTGGAGGGAGGGGCATGGAAGCAGCCTTTCCCACCCCCTCCAAGTCCTTGCAGTAGAGATGCCTTCATTGTACTCCCCTCCCAGTTAAATCCGAGGAAGAGCACCCTCTACGAGGCCATGGGGATGACTTGGAAGAGAAGAGCTACCACCACTTCGGCCATCCAAGGACCAGTTTGTCACCCAGGTCCAAGCTGGGACTATGGGTCCCGTATTCAGCTGGTAAGGCAAAGACCGTTTAGGGCAGAGTCAGTGGGGAGGGGGACGCACCTCTGGCAGGTGGGAAGGCTGTCGTCTCTACCCCACAATTTTGTGTTCCGTGTTTGAGTGATTGTGGACAAGGTTTACCTGGGAAGATGAAGAAGTTGAGGTTGAGGACGGTGGGGGGGGGGGATGAAGAGGAAGTCAAGGTTGAGCTGGGGAGATGAAGAAGAAATTAGAATTGCCCTGAGTAAGTGAAGAAGAGTCAGAGTTGACCTGCGGGGGTCAAGAAGAGTCAGAGTTGACTGGGAAGGGTGAGGGTTAAGACGTCAGGGCTGACCTGGGGAGATGAAGAAGATGTCAAGGTTGAGCTGGAGAGATGAAGAAGTTAAAGTTGACCTGAGTAAGTGAAGAAGGGTTAGAGTTGACCTGGGGAGGTGAAGAAGAAGTCAAGGTTGAGCTGGGGAGATGAAGAAGAAGTCAAGGTTGAGCTGGGGAGGGGGATGAATAAGAAGTCAGAGTTGACCTGGGGAGATGAAGAAGTCAAGGTTGACCTGGGGAGGTGAAGAAGAAGAAGTCATGGTTCACCTGTGGTGGGGGGTAAAAAAAGTCAGAGTTGACCTGGGGAGGGGAAGAAGAAGTCAAGGTTGACATGGGGCGGGGGATAAAAAAGAAGTCAAGGTTGAGCTGAGGAGATGAAGAAGAAGTTGATCCGAGTAAGTGAAGAAAACCTGGGGAGATGAAAAAGATGTCAAGGTTGACCTGGGGAAGGGGATGAAAAAGAAGTCAGAGTTGACCTGGGGAGGTGAAGAAGTCAAGGTTGACCTGGGGAGGTGAAGAAGAAGTCAGGGTTGACTTGCGATGGAGGATAAAAAAAAAAAGCCGGAGTTGACCTGGGGAGATGAAGAAGTAGTCAAGGTTGATCTGGGGAGATGAAGAAGAAGTTGATCTGAGTAAGTGAAGAAGAGTCAAAGTTGACCTGGGGAGATGAAAAAGATGTCAAGGTTGACCTGGGGAAGGGGATGAAAAAGAAGTCAGAATTGACCTGGGGAGGTGAAGAGGTCAAGGTTGACCTGGGGAGGTGAAGAAGAAGTCAAGGTTGACTTGGGGTGGGCTGAATTAGGGTAGAAGCCATTTTGGGGGTCAAAGAGGTAAGCAGAGACACTTCAGCAGGAAGTGGGAGACCTCACATAGGTGGCTCAGAGAAGAAGCAGGAAGTGGTGAGAGTTTCAATCCTAGGAAGTCCTGAAAGGAAACAAAATCCAAACCCAGGTGAGATGTTGGAGAAGGAAGGAAAGAGCTGATCCAGAGGTCCCTACCCAGCCTAGGTGTCCATAGTGAAGGAGAAAGGGAGAGTTTCTCTCATTCCCATCCGTGAAGGACAGGTTCCAAGCATGGTTGTCTGATAATGATGATGATGCCAAGGTCTTTGGAGATCTATCTTGAGTCCCTCCTCCATCTCCTCCTCTTTTCTCTTTCCTCTCTTCTCCTTCCCCCTTCCTCCTTACTCTTCTCCTTCTCTTTCTTTTAGAGTGGAGCCCCGCCACCAGTCCTCTCCATGGCTTGCTCAACTGCCTGAAGGACATCCCCATGCCGAGACCACCGCCCCCACAAATCTTGCCGGGGAAACGAGGAGCAATTGGGGAGAAGGAGAGACGAAGAGGAGGAAGACGAGGACGCTTCGGTAGGCCAGGGGTTGGAAGAAGGTGGTGAGCCTCAACCAGATAATGAAGGAAGGGTTCTCCAACCGTGGCAGTTTCCAGGAAGGTGGACTTCAGCTCCCAGAATTCCACTGCCATTGATGAGAATTCTGGGAGTTGAAGTCCACTCGCCTTCAATTCATCAAGGTTGGGGAACTCCCAGCTAGGTAGAGCATAGATCAGGAGGTCCACTCGGTCCCACATTTCCAAATTTCAGCCCCAGACATACATCTCACTCTTCCCCAGATGTTGTATTCCGACTTCCATCATCCCATCATACAGGCAGTTGCTGATCTGTAAACCAGTTGGTTTAATCTTTGGTTCCCAAAGAGAGACACAGAAGCTCCCGAGAGCCTGGTTTGAGTGGGGAGGGTCCCTTAAGCCAGTGTTTCCCAACCTTGGCAACTTGAAGATGTCTGGACTTCAACTCCCAGAATTCCCCTGGCTGGGGAATTCTGGGAGTTGAAGTCCAGACATCTTAAAGTTGCCAAGGTTGGGAAACACTGGCTTAAGCAATCTTAGGAGCAGCATCTTCAACCAGAGCTTGAAAGAAACCCAGGTCCCTTCGACATGGAGGGCAACTCCTAACCCCAGGGCCTGCCTGCCTCTTCCTCCTTTCCTTGTCTCTTGCCAGGCCCTCCATCCGATAATTGTCCTCCCCAAGGATCAGAAGCTGGTCTCGGGGAAAAGCCAGCCCAGCAGTCCTTCCCGCCCCAGGGATATGCCAACGGGCACCATGAGAGACAGCCGGCAGGGCGGAAAGTGGAGAGGACGATGGGGCAAGAAGGTAAGTTCCATCAACAGGAGAAGCCTTGAAGATCCAGCTTGTTCAATGGGCTGTTTTTATCTATCATCTATCCATTCTCTCTCCCTCTCTCTCCCTCTCTCTCCCTCCCTCTCCCTCCCTCTCCCTCCCTCCCTCTCTCTCATCTAATATCTATCTATCTATCTGTCTGTCTGTCTGTCTATCTATCTATCTATCTATCTATCTATCTATCTATCTATCTATCTATCTATCTATCATTTCTCTCTT